ATGCATCAAAACCGCATGCGTGTCAGCTTTGTCATGCGTCATTCTCAAAGTCTCAGAGTCTCGTGAGGCACTTGAAGTCACATACAGAGAAAGTAAACGATATGATTAAGCAGATCAACACAAGCGAGCGAAAGGATAATAAAGAACCGAAGAAAGAATTCAAGAGTGAAGATGATACTGACGACGAGACTGGGCTTGCGAATGAAGCGGACGAATTCGAGAATGCGCCAGAGTTGTACAAGTGTGAGATTTGCAACCAGTATTGCTCATCCTTGAAGAATCTAAGAAGACATGCCCTGGTACATGGCGATAAGAAGTACTCTTGTACCGTATGTAAGAAATGGTTCTTCAGGCCGGATACGTTAAAGAAACACGCGGAGAAGCACGGGCATGGGCTGTTGGATAATTTGATGGATGATAATAAGCTGTACGATTCGGATGACGATATGCCAAGCAACAATACAATGGATCCTCCGGAGAGCGAAAATGTCAAGAAAGAGGAAAGCGACGAGGAAGGAACCGGAGAATACAAATGCCAACATTGTGACAAGGTCATGGCCACCAAGAAAGGTCTGCGACGGCACGTATCGATGCACAAACCTAAGGCCGAGCCGGTTACTTGTGAGATTTGTAGAAAAGTTTGTGCAAGTCAGGCTCGTCTCGTTCTCCATCAGAAAACGCATAAGCCGAAAGAGAAGGTACCGCGTGAGTACTTGTGTCACATCTGCAGTAAGGTGTATCCAAGCAATTCATCTCTCACCTACCACATGCGAACTCACACCGGCATTAAGCCACATGTATGCAAGACATGTAACAGCGGCTTCACGACCACAACGAGCCTGGCGAATCATATTCGTATTCACACGGGCGACAAGCCGTTTGTGTGTCATGTATGCAGCGCCGCATTCGCTGTGAGCTCGGCTTTTCGCAGGCATTTAACCCGGCATACTGGTGAAGCAAATTACCTATGTAAAACTTGCGGTAAGGCTTTCAAGAGACTCAGCACGTTAAAGGAGCACACGTACACTCATTCTGGTGAGAAACCGTACGTATGCAAAACATGCGGCGCCGCGTACAGCCACAGCGGCAGCCTTTTTGCACACCAAAAGCGTTGTCGCGCCCAATATGGCGAGATGATTGTTGATGATCACAATCATCATCATATACCGCATACAATCACTCATATCCACGTAAATATGAATAACGTCAATAATGGACAAGCAGTGCGACCAGTCGCTATGATAGGTCAAATGTTTTAAGAACGAAGTGCTATCATAGATTACAAGCGTTATCTGCGATGAGTGTTGTGTATAAATTGTGTATGCAGCTGTAAATCGTATATACAAAATACGTGTAACATAAGCTGCACGTCGTCTATAAATGTACATACAACTCATTTTTCATAATGAAAAATGTTCCTTAAATATATTCGGCACACTCGAAGACTCTAATTTCTTTACTTTTAAAAACACGTAAATAAATATCTGTGGTATAATAAAATAAAACGTACTCATGTTTATACGAGGATAAAAGTTTGCAAAATGAAATAAGTACTATTATTAAAATTGCGAACTATTTTTTTATTATTTGATATCATAGGCATGAATATTTGTGGACTTTACATGTTTCAACATTGTATATATCTACACACACACACACACACACACACACACACACACACACACACACACATATATATATATTTTTGTATGTTTCGTATAATCCAGATCTTGTTATACCATATATTGCATGATAGTTGTTTGCATTATTATGCTACTTTAGAAGGGGATTTTTTTCGTATAGCTGAGTTTACTTTTTCTTTTATCAGAAGAATTATTTATCTGATTATTTGAATCTGAGAATTATTTATGTAGAATTATATATGTAGAATTATTCATGTAGAATTATTTATCTGATTATCTGAAAATTGATTTGAGAAATTAAATCAGTAAATGAGTGAAGCTAAGAGAGAATTCGAAGTCGATTTATTCGCAATGTTAATAAAAAGAATATAGAAGCGCAATAGTATCTGCAGACTCGTAAACGTAATTATTAATTATTTTTTGTGTTTTTAGAGTACATCTTAAACATTTTGGTAATTTATGTACAAAAATAATAGCGCTAGAAATGTAATATCAGGTATACAATTTCTGAGCTGTGACTATCGTGTAAATGATAACCAAATGAAAGACGCCGATACAATTTACTCATTTAATAAACTTAATTGGTATATATTCCATCATCAAAATAAGTCATAATTAAATGAATGATAATCATATTCATGCTATGTATGTACACATTTACAAAAATTACTTAGATTACATATAAAATACGAAATGATTATATCATAATGCGTATAAACATGCAAGAATGCGAATCATATTTTTTAACTTCATTAAAAATGAAAATCTTAACGTATGTTAGGTAGATGATATATAGATACTGAGATATATAATCTTTTAACTGAAAATACTATATTTGAAAGTAATAATCAGAATATATGATTCATTTAATCGTTGATTATAGTTAAAAAACATTTCTTAGATCATATTTAAAGCAATAAAATTTAGATTTATTTAAATTTTTAATTAAACGGAACGATGAAAACAATAGTAATTAATAATGATCATTTTAAAAATGGAGCAAAAATAAGTAAGGAATGTACAAATATACATATACATAATATTAATTATATTATACATATAATAAGTTATACACGAGACTGATCATCATTCATTTAAATATTTAATATGGTATAAAATTTGTAAATCTTATTCTCCTAAATACTGAATGAAGATAAAGTTTATTGTTTTAAAATCTTGGCTAGTATTATTCATTAGTTTTATTATATTTTTTTGTACTGCTAATAGAAGTGTTAGCTTTTCAGTCTATAAATCTTGTTGCGACATAAATCTCTCCACCAATATATGATTATCAATATACAATTAAATGAATTTTTTATTAATCAAAATATACGTATATAAAATATACGTATACAAAATATATTTACAGAGTTGTTTTATTTCCCACAGCGCCTGCATAATTTAACATGTCGGTTATTTATTTGTTATAAAAAGATGTATTAATAAAAGTTATATATGAGGTTTTAAATTCTTTTCATTATATAAACAGAGTAGCACTTGAAGAAACTAAAAATGAAATTAATTAATAATAAATGTTTAATTAAACGATAGGTATTTCATACTTAATTTAGTACAAAAAAAATTAGAATTGAGCAATATACACGCTACAGATTAAAAAATAGAATTTCATTTCTACTATATTTTATGTGTAATGTATGAGGTAATTTTTAGTATAATTTGTATAATATAACAGATATTAAAAATTTAGTGAACATTATTTCTTTTATCTGAAACAATAAGTAATGCCAATATCAACACAGGGTGTTTGAGTGTAATTTAAACGCAATTTATTAAGAAAATGAATACATGGATATATTTCGATCCTCATCAATACAATTAATTACACGATACAAATTATTCGGATGAAAAAAATGCTTCACTACATGGGTTAATGATCAAACTATTTATTAGATGTCCACTTGTCGAATTTTTATCATTAAATTGTCCGATTTGATGAAGTTAAAGAGTTGTGTGAACCAAGTGTAACGCTATTATTATTTCTTTTTATATCTCTATTTTATAGAATATTTATAATAATAATTTTATGTAAAGAGCATTATATACAAAAAATGTTGTTCATTAATAAGCCATATAAATTTTTTAGAAAAATAAGATATTATGATGAGAGAAGTAAATTAAAAAAAATTCTAATATTTTATCATACATACTTATATATATTTATAATATTTTATCATATATACTTATTATATATATATTCTTTCTTATTATATATATAAAAATACATTCTTTAATTTCATCCTAGCACATATTAATAGAATTAATAAGAGTTTTCCATTAGCGTATTTATAATCTTATTTTATGTCATTATATATATATTACATATTATAAATATGCTAATGAAAAACCATAGAGGTATAAATAGAGGATGAAATCTCCCAGTTTCTATTTATTATATTTTTGTAGTTTATTTAAAAACGTTATAATAATTCAATATAAATATAATGATGTAATGAGGAAAAGCCATTTTCCATAAGGAAACAAATTTTGAACTAATCATCAATATTATTAAGAAATGGATATCCTTTGGTTACATCGTAATCAAGTAAATAGAAATACGATATCGTAGTCTGTTATCATAGAACATAGAATGGAACATAACCATTAATTTGATTGGAGTAAAGTTTCAATTTTGAATGAGAAAAGGAGTTACAATAAGAGATTAATTTCTGAGTCAATTTTTATCAAAAAACAGAAAAATGGATTAAATTAACAAAATGATACGAAATTATTGAACCCCCTATATTATGATTTAGTTGCGGAAGATTTCTATGTTTTAAAATCTTGATTTTAATTTCGACGGACGTATTCTTATTTTTACACATATTTATTTTTATATTTATTTTGGAATCGTCGGCTCACTTTGTAATTTTGCTCTGAACTCTCACACAATACAAATATCTCTCTATAATTTCACAATGTAACAGACCATCGTTAATCTGATTCCAACGTAAATTTTTAGTGATTTTGATTTTATAATTATAATTTGACTATATTAATTTTGGTATTCTATTTTAGTGATAATTTCTAAAACATGCAGTTTGTTTATTCAGCAAAATATAATAGACATTGAAGATTTTAAGTAGTGACAATAGATTAACGATGATTTGGTGATTTAGTGCTTACATATATATAATTGTTTATCCTACCAACCATTTTATACACTAACCCAATATCAGGTTGAAACCTGTATTCCAATTTTAATTTAATATATATATTGTTACACACGAACAATTAGTGGTGGCTCACATTGGCTTTTCCTCATTACATCATTATATTTACATTGAGTTTATCTTGAAGAGCCTTATATTGTATTAATTTAATTTGTTATTATAATAATTCATCATAATCAAAATAACGTTTTTATTACAAATAAATAATACATCAATCATCTTCATCCTTTTTACGTCTTTTCTTATTTAATATTCGATAACGTCGCCAAATGGAATGTCTTGTTCTGTGAAGAACTTTAGCCAAATCAGCATATTTACGTTTTACTTCAAGAGATGGATTATTTTCTAAATGATCTATTATCATTTCATCTTCTTCAGGTTTAAACCTAGCCATTTTTATTTAATATTTCATTACTATTGTTATAAATTATACTTAACACTAAAGTTATACTTCACAATTATATAAAAATACATATAAGATCAAAATCATGTACAATGTGCCATGCATTAATGACATCCTTTTTGAGTGTGGACTATAGTGTAAAAATCAAGCAAATTATTCAAGTTTCTAGGTTATTTGATGCTATCATTAGCTTAGTGAGTTTGCGATTGGATGAGATTGCTGTGATTTTTACACTGATCTACATTGAAAAAAGATAGCATTTATGTAGACGGCAGTGAGATCTATTCTTGAAAAATATCGCATAATAATAAAAAAAAATGTGAAAGAACAACTATATTTGTTGAATGGAAGATAAAGATGAAAGCGTGAAAGGAAAACATTGTAATAAAATAAATAATATAAGGAACATATCGCGGCAAATGGCATCGACAAAGAAAAAAATTTCATCAAGCAGAAATCTTTGTAATAATATCTTTATAAAAATTCTATATCATACTTATATTATATATTATATTCGTATGTGATATATTCAAGAATATAGATAAATATTTGTATATAAATATATTTTATTATATATTACCTGCGTTGAAGATTATTCTCATATAAATTTTTAAATCTATGATAGACACTATATAAAGTTCTCTCTGGTAAACCATTGGCTAAAAATTGTACAAATTTCCGTCTTTCTCTAGTATTACGCATGTATGTCAAATTGCCAATTCTTAATCGTAAAAACGGTTTACTTTTATTTACATCCCAATTGTGTATCTGTTTCAAAATCAACATTGTAAAAACTTCTGCATTAGTTATATATATTTATTTATAAGTTTAAAAATGTTTAAATTTTATTCTAAATATATTTCTAAGAATTAGATAATAAGCAGATATCTTGCATACTAACCTTGCAAAATGTTTTCCAATTATTAGCAATAATATTGTCCTCTTCAAAAGAATATGAGCCTTTCTTGATTGGTATTATTTTTTCAAATTCTTCTATTTCCTTTCGTGTCGGCATATGAGACCCAGCTCGTGTTTCAATCATATGCTGTGGTGGTACCGTGTGTCTTAATTGCACGTTTAAATTGTACAATTTCTACAATGAAAAATAGTTATATAAATATATGTATATATATATATACTTTTTATCAAATTAAAATTTTTTCAAGATTATATTACGAATATTTCTGTTTGGCAAGGTCTCTCTGCTGATGCCATTTGCCGCGCTAGATATGTTACTTCACTGCAATATTCTTCTATATCTTCATCTCCAGATTTATTCTTTACCCTATGAATGTATTTGCTCTCACAAAATTTCTTCGAATCATGATTTTTTTCCTGTAATGTCTTCATCCTATTTCCGATACCTTCATCTATGATAGAAAAGAATATATAATAATATAATATTTTTATGTAACATTCTTATACATAATATTCTTTCACTATGCCTTCATCCTTACATTCAATTGTATCTTCACTCTTCAACTCTTTTTTTAAATCGCTATCTGTATTCTGTGATATTTCTATTCCATTTTTGATATTTTCACTTTTGCATTCAACTTTCTCAACATTTATATTCTCTGATTTTTTCATTAAATTATCATTATTCTGTGACATTTCTATCCAATTTCGGATATTTTTATTCTTAAATCTCTTAAGTTTAACTTTATAGGCATTTTTATTTTTAGATTCTTCCATCGAATTATTATCTTGTGATATTTTTACGTTACTTCCAATATCTTTATCTTTGCACTTAATTTGAGCATTTTCATTTTCCGATTTTTCCGTCGAATCGCTATCTTCATCCCATGAGACTTTTTTCTTATTCAGGATATTGTCACCTTTGTATTTAACTTCATGAATATTTTTATTCTCCAATACTTTCATTGAATTGCTACCTTCATCCTGTGAAGCTTTTTTCTCATTCTGGATATTTTTGCCCTTGTGTTTAACTTTATGGACTAAGTGTGTTGCTTCAACGCAACACTTTTCTTCCACATCTTCATTTCTAGAACTAGCTTCATCAGTGTATTTGTTTTTCTTGTTTTTATTCTGTGATATTTTTATCTTTTTTTCAATATCTTCATTTTCCGAAACATACATCGAATCGCTATTTTTATCCTGTGATGTGTTTATTTTACTTCTATCTTTAATTTTGCCTTTAACTTTATAGACATGTTTATTTTTTGATTTTTCCGTTGAATCACTACCATTTTGTGATATTTTTATATCACTCCACATATCTTTATCTTTGCATATAATTTGATGGGCATCTTTGTCTAATTCTTTCACTGAATCGCTATCTGAATTTTGTGACATTTTTATCTTCTTCTTAATATATTTATTCCTATATTTAACTTCATGGATATCTTCATTTTCTGATTTTTCTATTAAATCATTATTTTCATCTTGCAACATCTTTCTCTTCTCAATATTTTTATCCCTATATTTAACTTTATAGGCATCTTCATTTTCTGATTCTTTCATTAAATTACTATCTTCACTTTGTGACATTCTTGTCCTTTTCCTTATACCTTTATCTTTATATTTAACTTTATGGGTATCATTATTTTCTATTTTTTTCTTCAAATCACAATTTTCATCTTGTGATGTTTTCATCTTAATTTTAATATTTTTGTCAGCAGATTCTTTTTTATTGTGGACATCATTATCCTCATATCCCATTCTGATATTACAAGTAATGCTATCTGCTAAAACATAATCCAGTTTTATTAACAACTTTAAAATTATATTATTATATAAATATCAACTTTGTTTAATTCGACTATATAAGACAATATATTTTACAAACTTTTTGAAACCAACTAATAATCATGTACACATATAAAGTTTTATATTATTCAATAAGATTCAAAAAGATAAGCATTACAAAAACAGTCAAAACATTAAGATTTCAGAATCCTATTTGAATCTATTAAATTGTTTTATATCAAATCATAACATTAAAGACAAAGTAATTCAATTTTTGAGCAATTGAGATATCATAATTTTTACGGAATACTCAGATCATTTCATAGATTTTCATAAACATAAGCGAATGTTTAATAGTTTTTATATAGATTTCAATATTAGGTAAGTACGAGCTCTTAAAAATTAAATATTCTCCTTCATTTGTAATTGCTTGTTAAATAATAGACGTATTGACATTACCTGTTCATATATACTTCGTAGACAATAAAATATATCTTGCAATCTTAAAAAAATATGCAATAAATATGACTTAATATAATATGTAATATAAATAACTTTTAAAACTATTTTTCTCACGTGATGAATTCTAGGTTAAAACAGGTAATGAAACGCCAATTTTACAAAAAAAACGCCATTTGCACTATGCTACACTTGTCAGTACTTGTATGGAATAAAGGCTACTGTGTATGAAATTATTTAATGATAAAAATCTAAGATAAACGTCTCGAATGATAGAAAGTCCAATATTGACATTATCACATTTCTAGCGGAATTATTATTGAATATTTTACCGATCAAAATATATTTTATTATACATTTGCACTTTAGATACTTTCATGTGTAGCGGTCTTTAAAACGTTTGACAGAAAACAATTTGTTCGAATCGCATGCGACGCATGCTCCAATTCCAACATACACTAATATTGACTCGTTGACTGGAGTACTTGGTATCAATCATGAAACTTTTTTCCTAGAATGAAAAGTGAAAAGTGAAAAATCTCTATTAATTTCAATGATTATAATTTTCACTTTTCATTTTCCATTCTAGAGATAAAGTTTCATGATTAATACTCTGGATATGGAAACGCTTGCTACTTGGTAAAATGCAACGCGGGAACCAATGAACATGTTAAGAGCTGTAAGTTTATTGGCTATCACGTTATATTTTGCCGCACGGCAAGCGTTTTTGCGTCTAGTGTGTGGGAGCTATAACAACTCCAATAAGCGCGTGAAGTGATTAGCAGTGATTAAGAGCTATAGTAGGAGCATTGGCGCATACGACGCGAACAAATCTCTAAAGTTTTTATTTAAGACCCAGTTTCACAATTCGCTTAACTTAACCGAGGTTTAACTTATTTCTCATCTTTTTCTAATTCTAGAATTGAAAAAAGATAATAATGAATAAGTTGAATTCGGTTAAAAGTTAACCGTCAGTTGTGAAACTGATTAAGTTTGTTTTTTTATTTCTACACTCTCTGAACTTGTATACACACGATGCAATAAGTTGAAATGAGACAAATATACAAACAAATATATAATTTGTTTCACTTCAACTTATTGCATCGTATATGTACACCAGTTTAGAGAGGGCAAGAATAAAAAACAGCAAAAACTTTTATAACCAAACTTTTTTCTTTTTCCTTTATCTTTTCAATTATTTAAAAACGTGTAATTACAAAGAACAGTCAATTGTATGTCAAATTCGTTGCAAGGCATTTGTAATCATTTATAACGCTGTGTGGTGTGTAAAAATCGATCCATTCTTTTAGATGCAACGCATCTAAACGTCAAATACGTAAAAGTGTACATATATAAAAAAAGGTATCTTTAAGGTAATATTAAGTGAGATGCAAATTATAAGGAACATTGCTTTCAATTGTAACGTAATATTTTCAGATAATGAAATAATCTTTCTCATAAAAATACCAATAAACAAAACGCCACAGTCTATCCTGGATAATATTAAGAGCAAGGCTTACCCGACAATTAATGAAAAACAATACAATATGGCTTCAGCATCCAGTACAAGCGCACGTAGCTTGTTCATTGAGTCAAAGATGAGATTGGCAGATAGAGTGCAAGTTAATGTCAACAATATTGCTTCACTTGCTAGGCAGATACAACGAGGTTCCAGAAGCAACGAAGTAATATCTTATTTTTCTAATTGGCTTCTAGGAAAATTGGTTGATATTGTTATGATATTGTTTTGTTACTAAATATATCTTGTTGTCCTAATAGATTTTGACACATGCAGCAAGGAATTTTGCACAACAGGAACATGGATTGGAAATGATAGAATCCAATTTGAAGAAACTTGCACTTATTGCTACTCATTTGGAATATCAAATGGATGCAATTGATAAAAGTTCGGTAATGTTAGAAGAAGTCACTGAGCAAGTACGATCTATGCAACGATAATGTAGGATATATATATATATATATATATATTTTATGTTGTATATAAGAGTTCTATGTGATGAATATCTACAGGATATATATATTTATATTTACAAATATTTATGCAAATGTTATTATATATTGCAGGATTGATTATTAATTTTAAGAACATGCGTCTTTCTAAATTTGTAATATATTATAATTTGAAAATTATTTATGTAACATTGTCTTTCTCTTATTTTTCTTTTTGTTATGAATCTTTTGCTGTCAAGTATATGAAGACTAGAAAATGTTTAATTTCTGTGATTTGTAGATTAAGAAAGAATATGCATTGCACTTATTATTCGAAATATTAATTTATATGTATAAATAAAAATATAACTTATTCTGTATGGAAGGAATATGAAGTCAAAATAATATTTTTTTTGAGAGTACTTCAACTATGTATTTGTTTTTTTTTTTAGAAATGAAGCTTGAATTTGTACATTATTTATATAAATATTTAAATAGGAGGGGGGGAAATAATTATGTAAATACTTAAACAAGGAAACAAAAAAAGAGAGAAGTAAAAATTAAATAACACAATATATCAGTTTCTTTGATATTTTTTATTCCAGATAATTAGCCTTAAAATTAAAAATAATTCTTATAAACATTATGATATATCGACAAACTCATAAACGCATTTAAGAGTTTCTAAAATGTGTACACAAAATCTGCTTCTTCTGTTTACAAATTAAAGATAATACATTGTATTATAATTAAAATATTTTTGAAAATAGAGTTTAAAGTTTAGATCTGGCCATTTTAGAAATCGTTTTATACCATATTAAAAAAATCGACGTAATGTCAGATTCATCAAGGATAAAGAATATCATAATGACCAGGACGATATAATAAGTGCACAGCTGGTATAGCACCTTCAGGGAAGTCGTGAGCAGTCACTTCAGTTCCTGCACCTCTGTCCATGTAACGAACTCTAACACCAGTTCCTAGGGCACTACTCATTGCTATAATGTGAATATGGTCAGATTCCTTATACATTGGTTCGACCTCCTAGCAAAAAAAAAAAGAAGTATAATAAATACATTAAAATAAATATAAAAAAATTCAACACTAAGAAATAGAAGCAATGGCCATGGTATAAATATAAAAAAATATACTAGAGTAAATATCAATATAAAAAGATTGATGGAATGCTAACATCAGATACGAACCTGATGGCAAAATTCTGAAATAGTACGTTCCCCCTCAATAAAATGTTGGTAAAAATCAGCATCACGCTGCAACTGACCAGATGTAATTAATCTAAGATACACAACAACATAATCGGAATAACCTTGTTCATTGAACAATTTATGTAATTCCATGTGACTGGAATCTGTGTCACTACCACCTACTTTGTCAATAACTTCCATAAACTGTAACAAAAATTCATGAAAACAACTCGTGTTCCTCACAATAAATTCTGTTGTGCCATCATACTAGCTAATCAAACATCATATACACATACATTTATATATACTATATAGGCTATGAAAATCTTGTATATTATATAATAATATATATATTTTTGAAAAATATAACAATCTCATAATTTATGTTTATAAGTTAATACATGTAAATAAAATGATTTAAAACTAAAAGAGTAAAGTCTTACCGTATCATGAAAGTCTTCAACTGTAAATTGGGGAAAACCTAGAGCTACAAGGCTATCCTTGCTTTTTAAAGCTAAATCACGAAATTTTTCGTACTCATCTTTATTCCCAATTAATTTCTCCAAATAAGCATAACTAAATGCTCTAAAGAAACAATTGCCATCTGGTCTAGTTCTCCTAATGTAAGAATATTTTTGAGCCAAGGCTTTTGCCTTCGAAAGGTATACATCGTCTTCCGCATATTCTTGTTCTAAGCTTTTCAGTGGTTCCTTTTCACCAACTAATGCTATAGATTCCGAAATCTGAAATGTAGAAGATAAATATTAAAAAATGAAAATCTTATGGAAGTTTTAATATTCATTCAAAAGAAAATATTTTATAATTTGTCAAATTAGTCTTTACGAAGTGATATTATTAAAAACAATAAAATATAATTGCTTGAATATAGTTATGTTTTATCAAATAATAAAAAAATTGAAACTAATAAAATAAATAATCTTTATTTCACATTGAGACTCTCACAAATAAAAAAATACTTCTATAAAGTTATTTAATTTGAATATATAATAAATTTTATTTCTAATCACATGAATTAAATAGAACTTAATACGTCTTCAAAGATTCATTTTAAACATAACACAAACGATATATTAACCTCCTTCTCGATACGTCTCTGTTGTTGAAGTATCAACTCGTCCTGGTTGACATCTGTAATAAAGATTAGGATAATAAATTACCCGGCTTGATTTCTCAATAATAAATTACGTTAAGAAACCTGTGTTTTCTACGGGTTGCTCCTTAAGCGAGTTATTTTCCATATCTCAGAAGACTGCTAAATTTCACAACGGCTGTCAAATTATCAATCGTAAACAAAAGCTTGATGTTTCCATGTGAAGTTAAAAAGATGTTTGCCAGTGTTTGCTGCTGTGCTTCAAGCTCTTGTGTTGGCAGCATTATCGAACAGATTCAATCTAGGTAGTTTACGTGACGAGTTAATACAGATGGTAATGGCACAATCGACTGGTTGGTGGCTGCACGATCGACTCACCGCGGTATTCTTTGAATTCATCTCAAATTTACATATACAATTTAATTATGCCAATTACTGCCGATGAAGTGATATTAAAAAATAGCAATTTAAAAAAAAATTAGGTTACTTTTGTAATTAAATACCTTAATTCAAATAAAATTTTTGTCACATTATTGCTAATTGGATATTTAGAGTTTTCTGATTAATTTGCTGTTGAATTTTCTAGTATAGAAACATTTTCTATGTGGGAAATGATAATCTTTAAAAATGTTAATTAACTTATTCATTATATTTTTACATATACTAAAAATATAATATAATTTGATATACTATAATAATAATTTTAATTAAAAGCAAACAGTAAATAAATTTTATGTTTAAAAATGATACTTCTAAATCATAAAAATTTTTTATTATCTCTGTCAAATATTTTGTTATTATTCTAATCAACAAAATATATTAGATTCATATTTTGTATTTCTAAGTTTTATGCATATACAACCGCAATTAAATTTAATTTAGTTATCAACAATCGGTTATGTTTTGCATTACTATTTGATTGAGAAAATTTTAATTATTATATATTTATTAGCATTTTAAATTTCTCTAATATATTGATTATAAAATAATATTTAATATTAACAAATACTTTTTAATATATAAAAATCTGACATTTCATTTGTAGGTAAATTCATGTACGTTCCATATATACATCTTTACTGACCTCTACTGTAGAAGACTGTATATACATATAGTTATATTTTAAAGCCATGGTAACTAGCTATAGTAATAGCAGTTTATTCAAACGTTCGATTTGTTAATTCATTATTAAATAATAAAGAAACTTATTGTTAATTAGAATAAATTTTGTTAGTTCAGATATATATAGATAATTATGATAATTATATTTTATTTAAAATATTTTGACGTAAAGCATTAATATACAATATAACTTAATTTTTTAGTTTAGCAGATAAAGGTAAACATTAATTTTATGTATATTTTTCTAAATTTTATTTAATACATTTTAATATTAATATTTTATTATTTTATAAATTTTCATATTTTTCTAAAATTTATAAAATGAAAATTTGATTATTACTTACAAAACAAGCAACAATAGTATAATATTTAATAATATATCTACATTATTTGATATATTAACATATACTTGCGTAAATGGCACAGTGGAATTTACACACGTACGTATTTTCAATTAATAATTTCGTTTATTTTAGCTTAGGCAAGATTGCATTTTGTGTCTATATGATCACGCGTGTATATATGTATATATGCGTGAGTATACAGATATGTGTATTTATGTATTATTATCGTACGCAGCACGTACATCCAATTGAATCAATTCTTAATAAACGTAAATTTTTCTCAAAAATTATTGTTAATTTTTCTTAAAAATTATCGTTTAATATCATTATACAATTAAAGATGTGCTTCGTAATACAATAAAAATAAGAAGTAATGCATGTGATGTAAAAATACAAATGATATAAAAATATTAGACTTTGAAACTTGTTAAACAATATTATCAATTTTTAATGACTAATCATACAGGGTGGGCCATCTATTGGTACGTTTTTAAAAATGCGATCAAATGAGCATACATTGATATTTTTTATTAATTTTTTTTTTGTTGTGAAGCTAAAAGTATCCGCGTCAAGAATGAAAAACGATTTCGTTCATGTGGCTCCCTCTACTGGCCTTACAGTATGCCATTCGGTCACCCCAATTATTAATGACATTTTGGACTACCTCGGCGCCAATTTCACTCAAAACAGTCGTAATATAATGTCATCCACTAACATCCCTTTCTCACGAACTTTCCTCACCAATTTGCGTATAGCTCCTTCGGTGGGTGCTCTATCACGACCCATATTTCTTTTCAAAATTCGTACAGTTTCGGCGACACAGCACTGACTTTGAAAATAAGTTTTTAAAATTTCAAAACGCTCTTCAAGAGAAAACATGTTGTTTCGTGCCGCGGACGGTATGACTAATAAACTGTCAAAATTTCGGGTCTGTAGCTCGTTCGGTGTTGCCATACGACGAAATTCAAAAACGTACCAATAGATGGCCCACCCTGTATTTCTGTTAAGCGCCCATCATTTTTTATCACAATTTCGTACAACTTTATTGTATTTTATTGTTTATGTTTTATATTATGGTTTACTTTATTTCTTAAATATTTTCGTATCTTGTTTTATACAATATATATATATATATATAATATATTATATATATGTGTCTGTGCAAAATAATTTTATTCCTTTTCGATTTTCTGTGTTTTGAATCAAGTTAAATTTGTATTCTATCCTATTTTAATTTGGGAATTCGATCAATTTGTGACCGCGATTTGTCCGCTTCAAATCTGAT